TTCAGGAAACAACGCCTATGGAATATCAAACATAACATCACCAAACTAGAAAAACATCCGCAGACTCAATATAAGGCTGTGACCTCAAATGACGCTTTTCACGCCGCAAATCAACAAAAACACTGTGAGGAAGTTCCAGTGTAGTACTGGAGATCACCCTTCTCAAATAGGACCAGTTAGTTGATTTATGTGGTTTCGATCGGTTTCGATCGGTACGCGGTGAATGACAATGATGGTGGTTCGGGGTGCAATCCATGTTTTTAATCATCTGGGTGTCACAAATAAAACCTATGTTTGCTGATCCGGTGCTGCGAAAGTAAACCTTAAACCCTAGATACACATTCCGTTTTATAATATAACTAATTCCGGCATTCGGCAGCAATCAAGCTTGCCCTCTCACACCTGGTTGCAAAGCCTTGGTACCTGTCAGGACATTCGTCAAATTGAAAGAACAAGACAGTTTCAAATTAAACAAACCAAAAAAACACCTTGAAAGGCCAACATCTTGTTACCCTGCATCATTTCAGCGGGTCAAAAGAGACTTTCCTTCGCAAACCGACTTTTCTTGGGGTCCTGCTACTAGAAACTCGTTGAGGGATGACGATGCTTTGTGGGGACAACGCTATAACATGTGAGACAGTCGAAAGCCAACTTTTTCTGGGAATGGGACGAACCAAAAAACATCAAAAAACATATGCCCCGTATTTTAGATTTCAACTGCGAAAGAAGACAAGGCACCTCTGCTTCGAGTGCCAACTTGCGTTCGACCTCCACTTGAGCCTGGCAGATGAGAACGAATACACACAAACACTTGAAGAAACCCAAGCTCTGCTCCACTCGAGGAAGAACAAACAATTGGGTAGACCTAGTCCAGTTGTTACTATACTTCCATGGTAAGTATCTGGTATGTGTCCATAGTAGGTTTTATTCTCAATTTTGGCAACTCGGAAAACTCTCTCTCTCTCATCAAGAATCCCCCGCATCAGCAATTTACATATTACATGTTGTGTTAATTCTTGGCCAAGCGAGGTCGGGTGCTCAAACCCACCAGTATGACCAAAATGAAAAACAACTGACCATGGATGCTTGTATACTTATGGTGCTGTAGTGACTGCAAACAAAAACAAACTCACATCGAACATGCAGTCGAGGGTTGAAGGTTGTGACCGTCATGCACATCTTTCGCATGCGAACGGCATCGAACGCATCTGAGCGCTTTTGGTGGTGCTGGACGTGATATGACGTGATGACGTTTTCGTTCGCCCACTTCCATGGTCCAAGAAATCATCCCCAAGTCGTATGGTTTTTGAAGGACCGTGATGCCAACATCGCCTCTATCGATGTACGGAATTCATTCTTACACCTGAAGCACTGAGAAAAATGTAGGTCTTTGATGCTGGAACTCAGGCTGGTGCTGCGCCTTCCATCTGTCCTCCCTTCACCGAGCCTCCGGCCGCCCAAAACACACAACTCTGTTCATGGGACTGGATTCCATGACTCCATTCACTCCGCACCCATCTCATTGCTTTGGCTCTGCCGCTGCCGTTCTTTTGAGGCAAACACGAGCCTCTCGCCGGTCGAGACGGCAGTCGTCCGCCTTGGCGGCGGAGCATTCAGCCGTGAGCTCTTGGCGCACGCTCTGCAGCGCTGCCTGACGACCGAGCCCGAAGAAAGCGAACACGTGAAAAAAGAAGTAGGATGTGTTGGGGGGTCGTTTGAATTATCCACATGCTAGCGAATGCTGTGAAGTTCAGTATGATGAATGAAGCCCATGATGAACACCGGACCCTGGTTTTCCGTTCCGTCCACCAAACCAGTGGTTGCCAGGCTTGATATTGCTTGCGCATGGGTTGCGGTGAATGGACCAATGTAGGATCTATATGTAACACATTCCGCTTGGTTTTCCCTTGAAATAAATAGAGAATAACCATGAATCACCAGTTTGGTGGGTCAGCCAGTGTGACCATTTCACACATCGGTTCCGGCGGTTCGATCCTCCGGCCTTCGCCTTTTCGGCCAGGCGCTGTGCGGTCTCCAATTCCTCTTGGCCTCAACACGACGTTTGGTAGAGAACCTGGATATTCCTGGGATCCGACTGGGTTCTCCACCCCACCGACCAGGTTAGAGAACCTGGTAGGCATCCAGGTTCGAAAAACCTCTTCAGGTATAGAGAACCCTTTGGCATCTCTGAAGCTGGGCATGTTGTTTTACATGTCATATCTCCTTGGCATTGGTTGAAGAAGAATGGCAGTCGATGCAATCGTTGCCTTCTGTCTCGGCTTTAGATTTCCTCGACGAATCGGAAGGCCACCTTCAACCGTGGTTCTGCGCTGCGAAGAAGAAGAAACAAACAACAAGTGTTTCAAACAACCAGGTGATTCTCGATCTCCAAACCCGTACAAGAACTTGTCCAAGTCTACAATCCCAAATTTTGTCAATTCTGGTGCAGTGGCAGTGCACCTACTCTGGCAAGTCATTTTTATAGGATAAAGAAGTTCCTACTTCTTTGGGCCAAGCATGGCAAAGCAAAGAAGTAGTGTGCTGAGGTTTCCTATGTGTTTCCATGCAGAAACGCCGAAGCGACAACACCCAGCGATGGATGGAGTGGAGCTGGCGTGGAGACGACCCAGAGCACGCCTTCACTCCACCGTGGACCTGCCGAGGCACGGGACTTGGCGATGGACTCCGCCAGTTCGGCACGGCCCTTCTCATTCTCCGCCTGGAGGGAACGGGGGGGGGAGAGCCGAGATGAGAGAGGCGGAAGGTATCCAGGGCGTTTGTGACGTCGGAGTGTATGTTTTGAAGGGGGGGAGGTGGAAAATGGTTGAACATGGTGAAACAAATGGGCTGGGATAATGGTGGAACAGTTGGGATAATCGCTCACCGAGTGCGGCTCATACAGCCCCGCATGATGCCAAGTGTGGATGATTTCTTTTGGGCCTCTTGGTGATTTGGAAGGCAGAGTTTGAAGAGAATCGGAGAATCCCACGGCCAATCCCCGAACGATTGGTTTGTCCCTCAGTTCGGCTCCATCCATGATGTGCGCTGTCTCGCTGTCTGAGATTGGAAGATTTAGACCCTATACTATTGGATCCACATACCTTCTCAGAAGGTGTTTCAGGTTGTGCCCTCCTGGCGCCTACACAAATAGTCTCCAACAACCTTCTCAGAAGCTATGTAGATCATACAGAGAGTTACTTTGGTCAGGTCAAGCACCGCAATGTATGCTCAGAACACGTCCCTTCTCCCGTCGGCGCACGACCACCGAAACATGATCCAACTGATCGAGAGCGACGACGAGCGAACATGATCGATGCTTCTCAATGAAGTGGCTGTACTATCCGGAGGTGAAGTGCGGAGCTGAAACAAAATGTTAAGTAAGTTGACTCATCATGTTCAAAACATCCACCAGCACCCACTCAGTTTCTGTGGTTATTAGATGAAAAATAATAGATCAACCACGGGGGGTTGATAAGTCCAACCACCCAAAGTCCGGTGCCGGTGGATGTCCTCATCGATGCGATGAACGGAGACTGGACATCCCGTCCCACTCTGAAGGATCCGTGCTTTTCAGACCCAGGGCTGAAGACCAGCGGAGAGCATGGTCTCCCACAAGTTCACTATAAGTAACTCGGTGGTGTGTTGCCTGAAGCACCAGAAACATGCTCTCTCCAGGAATCACATGACAGAGCAAGCAGCCTTTTCTTGCTGCATGTTCCAGGCATCGTAGCCCTTTCTCATTGCTACGCCTACTAGTGGGTCTACCTTCAGGCCAAAGCATGGAGGATTTGTGGAACAAGTATGCAATAATATTGATGAGTCTTTTCAAATAGATCGTCCATCGTGCCGATGGTCTCCAGGTCGAGTTGAAGTGTCGAAGCAGGGTGTGTGGCTCAAAAAAGGAGATCTCCCAGGCAACAACCCCCAGGCAACCTTCGGGAACATAGACCTGTCTGTCCTGTCAGGGCGAGAAAGGGGGTCTCCCTAGAATGGACCACTGCTGCCCATTGCGGCGACGACGTGCCCGTCCAGCCCTCAGCGATCACGGTTTTGACCTCGAACTGCTGGCTGGCAATGGTTGCAGCATGCCTCAGGACCAATGGTTCAGCATGTTCTGAGGCATGCCAAGCTCTGCACAGAACAAAGAAATCACAGGAATTCTGATGCTAGAGTGTAACTTGCGAGTCCCCCTCCCATCTCAAATGATCCCAAATGCCTTTCCCAAAATCACTTCCTTTGACCATCAACTTGAAGTCAATTCCCAAATCGGTCAAGACACTACCCATGCTTTCACCAACTATCATTGCCCAAAGAACATGAGTCCATCAGCTTTGTTCCCCCAGTCCCATGTTTGTGTCCAAACCACACTCTTGATATCATCTGGCTGGCACTCCGAAGAGGAAAATGGTCACTGCGAAGACCGTGTTCCTCTAAAAACCAAATGGCTGAAACCGCTTCCACGCGAAACCGAGTGAGTCATCACCGAGTACTCCGTTCGTACATCACCGACCTGGAGATGCTCCCCCTTCAGAGGAAGAAGAAAGACGCTTGAGGCGGAAAAAACAACTGGGAAAAAGAGTTGTTGAGTTCTTGTATACGTTAAATCTCTGACGCCAGCCCGCCAGCCCTAGCCATGAACATGACAAAATGCAAACCTGCAACATCTTGCAACTCATTCCTACTGTTTATGGAAGCAAGGGTGGACCATAGGATATCCGCTGCCAGTATGTCGTGTATATATATATATATATTAGATTAGTTAGTTAAGTTAGTTGCTTAGTTAGTTATATGCCAGTTAGTTATATTGCTGCATGCACCAGGTCCGAGTGCCCATCAACGGCGTAGGGAGGTCTTCCCAAACCCAAAACACTCCGTCGATGGATTTGTGCCTACCCAAAAAAAGAACACAGGTCAACTGCTCCAATGTAACTCGGGGGAATGGGTCGTGGAACTCCCATCATTCCCAGCCTATTTGCACACCTTTTTCAGTTGCGGAGTGTCAGCTCGTGAGTGCCCGCATGCTCAGTAGAAACTGTGCTCAATTTAGTAGAACAAACAGCCAAACTCTGCAGGTTCCGGGGAAGAACTCCCTCCAGAAATGGGTCCTCCCTCCCTTGTGAAATGTAAGTAGAGCTAAAGTTAAGGTTCTGAAGGTTGCTGGGCCAAACAACACCCTCCGAACTCTGCCGCAAGTGTACTACAAAATGAGAGTTCAAGGTCAATTTCTCCAGACCGCTTGGCCAAGACACTTTGTCCAACCTCTGGCAGAAGCCCATGTCAAATGAAAGGCTCTGAAGGTTGCTGGGCAAGACAACTCCTTCCAGACTGTGATTGAAATGCATGCCAAACGCAAGGCTCTGAATGCTGCTGGGCCAAGTCACTCTCTCCAGACTTTGGTTAAAAGCAAGGCCAAACGAAAGGCTCTGGAGGCTGCTGGGCCAAGTCACTCCCTCCAGACTTTGGTTGAAATCACGGCCAAACGAAAGGCTCTGAAGGCTGGTGGGCCAAGTCACTTCCTTCAAACTCTGGTTGAACTTAATGCCAAATGAAAGGTTGTGGAGGCTGGCGGGCAAAGTCACTCCCTTCAGGCTCTGGTTGAAACTCAGGCCAAATGAAAGAGTCTGAAGGTTGCGGGGCCAACACACTCCTTGCAAATTCTGGTTGAAGTCAAGGAGTGAAAGGCTCTGAAGACTGCTAGGCCATGTCACTCCTTGCAAACTATGTTTCAAGGAACTTAACGAAAGGCTCTGGAGACTGCCCGGCCAAGTCAACCCCTCCACATTCTCGTGTAAGTCACTATCAAACGAAATCGAAAGGCTCTGAAGGCTGCTAGGCAAAGCCACTCAAGCCGGACTTACGTTGAAGGCACCGGCAAACGAAAGGGTAGAGAGGTTGCTGGGCCAAGTCACTCCTTCCAAACTCTGGTTGCTGGCTCTGCCAAGCGTAAGGCTCTGAAGGCTACTGGGCAAAGCAACTCCTTGTAAACTCTGGTTGAACTCACCGCCAACTGAAAAACTCTGCAAACTGTGGGGCCAGGTTGCTGGATGCAGGCTCTGGTTGAATCGAAAACCAAACAAAAGGCTCTGGAGGCCGCTGGGCCAAGACACTCCCTCCAGACTTTGGTTAAAAGCACTGCCAAACGAAAGGCTCTGGAGGCTGCTGGGCCAAGTCACTCCCTCCAGACTTTGGTTGAAATCACGGCCAAACGAAAGGCTCTGAAGGCTGGCGGGCCAAGTCACTTCCTTCAAACTCTGGTTGAACTTTGCGCCAAACGAAAGGGTGTGGAGGCTGGTGGGCCAAATCACTCCCTCCAGAGTTTGATTGAAATCAATGCCAAGGGAAAGGCTCCGAAGCGTGCTGGGCCAAGCTGCTCCCTCCAGACTCTTATTGAAATAGTTTCCAATATGAAGGCTCTCGAGAGTGCTGGGCCAAACCACCCCTTTGAGATTCTGGTTAAACATATTGCCAAACGAAAGGCTCTTGACGCTGACAAGGTTCCTCAGTTGAGTTGGCTCATCGAGCCCTTCTACTTCTAGGATCCCCTCCAAGGCCATTGACTCATCCTCGACTGGGAGACCTTTGATGCACGTCCAAGCCTCCTGCAGATTTGCTGCCTCGTAAGCGTAGGACAAAAATGCTGATCCTCCTTCAACAAGGCCTTCTTCGGACAAAGTCTTCTTCAACGACAGCTTCTCAGTTCCTTTCAGCACTGAGACTCTTGCTCCAGCCTTGGGTGGAAGTCGATCACGGATCCGACGGAGCTCGGAGCCTCTAAGAAGTCTTGGCACCTGCAAATTGAATCCATCTCCATGAAGTCCTGTTACCTGGGATTGGCTTCAAATAGCAGAAACATCAACGAAAAATGCAGAACACAAAAACAGTAGATGTCCCGGACATCATGTCCCAGAGTACATTTCCCCAAATGAGTGTGGCTGGTGTGGCTCAAAAAGGAAGACTCAAAACTTGCAGGGTTTGGTATTTTTCCTTTACAGTTTGTTGTTTGTGTCTTCTTTTGCTGGGGGAGGCCGTTCTCTCTGTTCAATCCACATCACCTGAATCTCCAGGAGCTCATCCCCAGGCAACGGAAGGTATGGCACACCAACATGATCTGACATGAGAAACGGGCGGCGCCGCAGTGAGATCTGACATGAAGATCATGTTTGTCAAGTCACATATACACTTACTGAGACATGATAATAAACTAACATTATGCCTTTAAACCCAAAAACTTCAAGCATAAATAAACATAACTTGTTTTAACAGGGCCAAGCTTGTTGTAATACACTAAAAACTGTCTAGTAGCTATCGTAACACACCTTGTTTAGCTGGCTCCATGCAGTCACCCGCAGTTTGTGCAGGACTTGCGCAGTTTAGCCCTCGACCTTTCAGCCAAAATGGTCGCGTCTTGCGGCTGAAAGAGAACTTGACGCGAGATACCATGTATCCCAAACCATCGGAATAGTTTTGAATCAAGGGTTGTAAATAAGCCAAATGTATGCATCTGCACGACATATATGGACATCTCCTCGAACCCGATCCCATTTCGGGACTCTTCATATTTGCCGACTCCGGTGCCGTGCCGCCCCAATCGAAACCCCCCGTGCCGGCGAGGAATCGATGATGGCGTCGTTGTCTGACATCGGATCCCATGTGGTGCTGTGGGTCGGTCGCACCATCGGATCAAGCACCACATGTCAAACCGATACCATGGCCTCACCCAACTGGGACCGACCGCCAGACTGCTGTCTCGCCGACCCGGCGAAGAGGTGGATCCGAACGGCGATCGTTCACGCACGCACGCCGAAACGGACGCACGCCGCCACGGACTGCCTTCGTTCTGCGTCCGGTGTTTTTTGATGTCATGTCGTTTTACACGTCCGAAGAGTCCAAAGACTGTCCCAAAGAGACCGGTCCGACCAAAGAGACGGAGAGAGTCTCGACATCGGTGTCTTCACGAAACAAAGATCGTATGCATGTTAGTGTATATATACCCACCATGGATGGATCAGACATGCTTTTTGGGGGGATGATGGAGAGAACGGATGGGTCAATCTATGACGCATCTTCAACCTCGTCCCATGGACCTTGGGAGAAGTCGCCACAAGATTGAGATCAAGACAAACTGGACTTCCAACAAAGTTTGAAGAACCCTAGTTCGACTATCCCATAGGTATCCCAGCAGGGTCCTGGACAACGGTCACTTCACCTCTCTTGGGCGCTTCTGGGTCTTCCAGGCTTCTTCAACTCGCTCTGGAGATCTTCAATGACCTGCATCGGGCCGGGCCCAGTCTGACCGGTCTACGACCCCGAGTCCGGTCGAGGCCGTGCTCAGGCCACGTGGCCTGTGGCCTGTGCTGTCTGGTCGGGAGAAACCATCTGATTTGAGGATCGGCAAAAAGGTCGGGCAGCCCATGTATGATTAAATATATATATATATATCTTTATATCATGATGGCCTACATTCATCACCCCATCATACCCCAGTGATATGGCATATACTTACTGCAGCCCAAAAGACGTTTTTCACCGCCTCGCGCCGAAGAAACGGGCCGTTCCACTGCGGCAGCTCGCTCGGTCGAGCCGGTGTTTCGTCCGGGCGTCCGCGACGGCGACGGGATGGCATGGCAAACAGGGCGAAGAGCAAACAAATTTGGTTCACGAAAACAGGGAGTGCCAGGAGTCACAAAGAGGTGCTGTTGAGCTGTTTAGTCCCATCCAGTGAGTGGATGTTCTGGGAACCCATGCGAACCCCTAACCTCCATGGATCGCACCCCTTTGTGACCCCTGGTGTTTGTGTTGGTGTTTTTGCTGTTGTTTTCTTTTGCTCCAGGGAGTGGATCCCAAACATTCCCAAACTATCCATGGGACTGGAAGAGCTGTATATATGCAAATTCACATTTTACCTCATCAAAAGTGACCTCAATGAGAGTACCTGGTGACTCTTCCAGTCCGATCGGTCGGATAGACCGGTTGCGTCCGATCTTTCAACGAAAATCATCGAACATCTGCCTGATTATACCAGGGCCTTCAAGGGGTGGTTAATGGACACCCCGAATCACGGCTGTTGGGCCTATAAAATAGACACCCCGACAGGAGGGTTTTTATGGAAGAAGGAAGCAAAGGCAACCATTTTTGCACAGTTGGAGGATCCAGGTATGCCTGCATTGACCCCTTTTCAACCACCCCAACTGGCTGGTATATATGCCAGTCACATTAGTTGTCTGGCATTGGGATCTCCCTGGTCTGGGGACACCTCCCGGAACTCCGACAAATACATGCCAACCACCTACGGCCCAACCCACCACGTGAAAAAAATCAAGTCGCGGTCCCCTCGCTGCCAGTACCCCCATCGACCCCTAAAATGGCCATGTTTCAGCCAAAGGCCGCCATTTCCCTCCCTCAAACCCACGAATACAACGGCTTAGCTGGCACGTCCTAGCTGGCCCACCTCGTCCCATGAAACCGGCCCAAGGTCTGACCGTCGTGACTCCCAGGGGCTGAGCGTATCGTTTGTATCTAATTTCCAGACCGTCCATGTATGGTACGGACAGTCGCAGCATGTCGCAGCCCACATTAGGGTCATAGCAAAAAAGGGGGGGGGGCCCAAGCTAATAGTGCTCTGTCAATACCAGCCCCACTCGTCTGACTCTGTCACTCTGAACCAGGACTCGACTCCTCAGCCGTCCAATCGGTTGAACGCTTTGGTTTCCCGCTTCGTCTCCGCCTTCTTGCCCTGGGAGATCTCCACGGCCGCCTGCTCGCGCACCTGCGGACCGAGGCGCTTCCGGAACCTGCCGTTGTGCCGGTCGGAAGCGTGTGGCTGGTCTTTTCCGGGAAGCCGGAGGGATGCCTTGGTCATGCCTTTTTCCGGGGTGCGAACCAGCTGCGAACCAGGCAGTCCAAGAAGAATGTTGGAAAGAACCGGAACCGCCCGAAGCTTTGTTCTCTTTTGAGTCGAGGCGTGTTTGGGGCCACCAAACAGGCAATATTTCTGACCCATCATCATTGTTGAGTTGCTGGTTGATGTTCCAAGTGATTACTGAGTGGTAAATCCCTTGTAAGCCAACCATTTGTTGGTGAAGCAATGCCGTCGGTGATCAGCATAATGCCACGGTGGGGATCACTCGAAGCAAAGTATCTTCTAATTAATCGGATCCAACACTACACACAACGCTCCCAAGTTGCAATCTCGTCACCCTTACCTCCACATCCGATCCGACCACCGCGACGAAAAGAAACCAATTGAACGAAACATGTCGACCCCCCAAGATGGCACAAACTACATTGCTTTCAGAGGTTCGATGGCCAAATGGCACCCCAAGATGTCTATGACAGATGGATCAGTCACTACTAAACAACCTGTTTGGGATTGTGTGATCTACTCTCAACCCACTAATAAGGTGAGAACTTCAACCCTTGCAACACCCACTGAGAAAAATGATGACCGTTATTAAACACCCTCCATGGGAATGGAAGAGCTACATGTTTACTCCGTTTACGACCCATCCATTTAACATCATATATATATATATATATCTTCCAGGCATAATTGGTCTCGGCTCAAAAACACCAAATTGCTCCCTTTTCGCTTGGAACACCAAGTGGTCGTGAGTCGACGCCAAGCTGCTGCATCCAAGCTTGCCAAAGCATCTTGGCCCGCTTGCTTCGCCTGCGCGACGAGACCAAGAGACTGGTTTGAAGCCTCACGCATGGGCAAACAAGCCTCGTGGGCAGTAAGAGCTTCCCACAAGCTCTCCAGGAGACTTTTGAGATCAGATTGGCTTTGGAGTGAGGGGTCGGGATGACGATCCTGTGAAGGATCAACTTGATGATGCCGTTGATTACATGTAAGTGCGTGTGTGTACAGGCTACAACCAAGGCAGCAAGAAGCAAAGAGAGGTGGTGGTGACTGATCCCTTGCAACATGGTAGAGCTAAAAATACCGTAATCAAAACCGACTCCAGCTTCCAAGTTTAACTTGGAACCCTAACCTAGAAGAACCCATCTGACTCCTTTTTGTGCCATCTGCTCTGAAAATCAAGGACACCAAAAGCTCTTGGTCACCGTTCTGTCTTTTAAAACAACACAGAGTGTTGATTTGCTATAATCAACATATTGCATGATCTTTGCATGTTTTTGCTATGTATACCAACTAGCCAGCGCGAAGGCTTCCACGTTACATGACTGTACAAATTCCTTGCACCGCATGACCCCCAATAGAATATTTGGTTCATGTTCAAGAAGAGTTTATTCCAATGGACTGCCCCAACATCTAACCCCACTTCGCGTTCGCCTCCTTCAAGTGCTGCTGATGTTCTTCCATCGCACCTCAAGTCGCTGCAGGGACACAACTACGCAGGAGGATCGGGCCTGATCGGGCAGGGCAAAGCAATGATCCAAATGACTTGTGGAGGGTTTGTTTCCTGGAAGCCCGTCCAGAAAGCCTTCAACAGCAACCGAGCAAACCTGCAGCTCCACGCCGCTTGCTGGAACTGAAAAACCCTATGTTACACATGTTTTGGGGATTTGAACAGCATGGGATCCTTTTTTCCCAACACGAGCGCAACCAACATATTGCACTTATGGTGACGAAAACATGGGGACCATACTTCCGGCACGCGAAGGGACTGGAATACTTAATGCTATATCTTGGTATATATATATATTGTAATATAATGGTACGTTGCTTATACTTGGATTTGCTTGAGGATCTGGGAAACACACAACCCTTCTGAGGGGGGAAATTGACCGATACTAGTAGGGGGAAAAAAAACACATACAACAAAATACATCATCCGCAACAAAATCAGGTATATCTCGTGAAACCTCAAAAGTTCCGTGGTTCAAAGGCAAACCGCCTGCTGCGTCGCCAGTCTTCCGCTCGGCCGATGTCGCGCTCGGGATCGCACGTTGGGAATCCTGCGCGGGGCGTGCGAGGGATCGCCACGGCCGTCCCACATCGATGGAAGTCACAAAAAGAGCCTGAGAATGGTAGGATTTCCGTATTTACAAAACAATCCAGTGGTTTTCAGGGTCCATGTTCATCTTCAGAAGGGGTCAATTTGAAGATCATGTGGGTCAACCGGAGGTATTGGATGGCTAGTCAAAAGTGTTCCTGCACAAAGAACATCTGCAAAACACCCAAGT